AACTCCAATTCTCGTTCTCTTCGCTGAAGCTAATAACTTGAAAAACTGCATAAGCTATCATGGAACTGTTCATGTCACTTCACCTCCATTAACAGTATCTTCTTCTCGTACGCAGATAAAACATCTGATATCTTTGCATCCTTCACCTGAATGGGAAACAGTCGGAGTATTCAGAAATCGAAAGAATAAGCATATGAAAACTGAAATCCAACATACACTAAATCCATCTCTTATCCTCTGAAGAACTTCGTCCAATACACGTTCATTTTCTTTGGAGCTTCTCCTGGGCGACACTACCACAGCAGGTACTGCAGCTGCTGTATCCATCGGTTCACAGCTTCTTGACCTGAGAAATTAAGCTTGACTAAAATTAAAACTACATTACAACTGGTTGTATGAGGAGGATTGATTTGAGACCACAGGAATTTTTTCAGGACTTTCAACCATTTCCTCCGCAGCATAGAATGTATGAAACCCTTGGCTCATAGTTTGATACTGCATAGTACGCAATATTCTTCTCGTCTTAGTGATCGAAGAAATCACACGAGTATCCGCTTAGTGGGTTAATCCCGTTCATAGCGTACGCCAAAGTGGCAAATCTGTGGAAGACGTGAACCTCCACGATAAATTATCACAGGAATGGTGAATTGTGGGCAAGTCTGACCCACCTTATGCAACCTTACGCTTTCCACGCGTGTTCGAGTCTCGTCTGGGGTCATACTTTTGCCCGGATCTCAGCATTCTTGTGATAACTTTGGGAGCGCGAACTGCGGCGTTAAACAACAGTTACCATAAGAAACAACTTCACGATAGACTTCATGATAAAGTAATGAGAGGAAAGGGAATACACGTCATCCAATCAGGGGCACATCATCTGTTGTACATAACACAACGGAGGTCGTAAAGGGCCGCTGGAGATGTGTCGTGTATTAAATCCCTATCCCATTACTTCGCTCAACGGTGAACATTCCTAGGTCTATTCAAGTGACATCCGAAAAAAGTGGAGCTCACGGAAGCTTCACATCCTCTACTCCTGAAAGTATTGACACTTCCAGGAGCAGAGGATGGGAAGGGAGTCATAGCGAGGGGGAGAATCCTGATTTCTCCAAATCACATGCTGAATGGAGCTTTTTGGCAGAATCAACGAATCAATATGTGCTCAAGTCTTTTCGTAGGTTTAGTGACCTTTTAAAAACAGGGCACTTCCTGTCGCTAGGGTCAATTCCGCGGAACACGACTTTCTCGGGACTTCCTCTGCGCGACCCCGCAGACCACTTGTAAGATCAACTACCCAACTTCGCAGTACGTCAGAATGCGTTCTGCGTAGACAGCTGAACGAAATCTGCCCCTTCCTAGCGAACTCCCTCCATAGGAGTGCTGGCACCAATGAAATAATTCTCATTGCTCTGCGAGTTTCCAAGTTTTTCCTCAAAAAATACAAATGAAGGACTGACCTCGTATCGCTGGAGGTATTTGGTGAGACCACGCTATCCGACTGACTTTGTCTGGACTGGGAACAAGATGCAATGAGATCGCCCAGCCTGAATAAAGATAAACCAGAATATTAGCGTTATTATACATCAAAACTTGCGATTCTAGCTATAAGTTCAGCATATAGATAAAGGCAGTGTAGCGCCGCCGGAGTCGAATCTTTGATAGAATCCCGTCCATATCAATCAAGCTTTCTATTCATCTGGGGCCAGTTTATTAGTACGAGACCCATATGAGAGGATATAACAGCTATCTGTACGTCGCTTGGTCACGCGTTTCATTGTATTGCGCAAATCCCATTTCAATGCCACTACGACTCCCAATGAAAATAGAATGTATGGCGCGTCTCCACGAGCCACTATTCAACGGCTTATGCTTTCTCAGGCCAGCATGGAGGACTAGTTTTGAATTAAAATGAA